ACCAGCTGCGCCTGACTCGAGTGAAGCGGTCAGACATGGGACCTTATCTGTGTATTGCTAAGAACGGCATACCACCTTCTGTTAGCAAGCGTATAATGCTCCGTGTAAACTGTGAGTATAGTGCTCCGTGTAAACTGTGAGTACAATGCTCAGTGTAAACTGTGAGTATAATGCTCCGTGTGAACTGTGAGTATAATGCCCCGTGTAAACTGTGCGTATAATGCTCCGTGTAAACTGTGAGTATAATGCTCCGTGTAAACTGTGAGTATAATGCTCCGTGTGAACTGTTTGTATAATGCTCTGTCTTAACTATGAGATTTCTGTGATGATCGCTGGGCAGTGTTTCTTCAACGTCGTTAAGCAGTGCATCATCTGGCAACACTGATCGGCGCCAGGCATGTTTTCCCTTCACCAACACCTCCCGCGTCCTCTCACCCTGACTGTTATAGGTCAACTGAAGTCGAATGTATAGGAGTTTTAGTTTTATTATCACGGGAAGAGGATGGGAGGGAGAGTCCATTACATAAAACAGGGGGAGGTTATGTCTTCTGATTTCGTATTTGTAGAGTAATATGTGATTGTTGTTTGGGACTATATATTAACAGATCTACCACTACACCTGTACGTCTACACCTGCTATATATACACCCCTACCACACCTGTACAGCCATACCTACCACACTACACCCCACCACACCTGTATACTCATACCTACCACACTACACCCCTACCACACCTGTACATCCATACCTACCACACTACACCCCACCACACCTGTATACTCATACCTGCCACACTCCGCCCAATCACACTTGTACACCAGCACCTGTCATATATACTGTACACCCCTACCACAAGTGTACACCCATACCTACCACACTACACCCCACTACACTTCTTTCTAGGTTACGGTGGGGAAAGGATGGAAGGCTTGCTGGGGTTCAAGGCACAGCCAGACATGAAGGATAGAGAAGTCACAACAGATAGTCGTGGGGGGAAAGGTTGGAAAAGAAGTTTAATGAGTTAAACAGAGGGGGACGACACCCCTTGTTTTACATATTACAGAGTTTGTTGCCTAAATAAGCTAACCTAGGATTTAGAATGAGGTTGCACAATGGTTACTTTGGTTGACAATGACTAGTTTGATTTTACAATTACAATGTTTATTAAAATCTTATAGCTGCATTACGTTATGGACTCACTGGATTGTGACTTGTTAAATGTGATCTTATATCATCTAAGTTTTAATCTAAGGTGGATCGTTGTGGCAGACATAGATGGGTCGCAGGTTGGGTCGCCCTCCGTTGATGTCTTCCCCGTGTAGGTGGTCTGGGCTGTGAGGGTCGTCCAGGAGCTTGTCCCAAACTTTTTTCCCTAGGCGATGGAACCTGACGTTGAGGGCCTCCGTTTTATTTCACAGGTGGATGGTTGCCACTGTCTCCAGGTAGGGTGGCACTTGGCCACTGGCTGACCTCAGACACTTGTTGTGGAAGCTCTATAGTTGTTGTAGTCTGGTCTTACGAGTGGTACGTGTGAGTACTCCAACACAGGCCTCACCAGCGCCTTGTACAGGCGGACTTGTATCTTCTCAGGCATCAGTTTAAAACGTTTTAATTTGGCGGCGGCGACTTTGGCTTTCTTTAGTCTGTCCTTCACGTAGGACGTGATGCCTGTCCGAGAGATGATGAGGCCGAGCTACCTGCCTTGTTTAGAGTACTCTATCTCTTCGTCGTCGATCATCAATGGTGCCGAATTTAATTTGGTTCCGGGTATGATCTCGAATTTCGTTTTGTTTGTGTTTATCTTCCATTTATTTTCATACCCCGAGATCTCCTCTATTGCCCGAGCAGTGAGTCGCGCCATCCTTGCCGTGGACCTTCCTGGGCAGGTGACGATCTGTGTTACATTGTCGGCATACATGACGTACTCTCTGTCGACGATTGGGGGTGGCAGGTCAGCACGTGTAGAGCGTGTAAAGGGTTGGTGAGAGACAAGAGCCCTGAGGCACGCCGCTCGAGAGTGAAAACTCCTCCCCACAATGTTCTTGCATCTTAATTTTGGTTCTGCGGTCCGTAATGAAGTTGCACAGCAGGCGCGTCAGGCTTTCGGGTAGCCCCAGTTGTATGATCTTATACTGCAGCCCTGCGTGCCAAACGATGTCAAACGCCTTGCTGACGTCCCTCAATACTACGTTGCACTGCAGGCGGCCAGTCATGGCGTTGGCGATCTGCTCGTAGGCCTGGGCTATGGCGGTGGATGTGCCTCGGTACTGGCGGAAACCGAACTGGCCGGGATTATGCACGTCTTCGTCCTCCTGATACATCCGCAAACCGCTTGTTTGGTATTTTTTCGAGGATTTTGGCTGGTACCTCAAGTAGTGATATTGGTCGAAAGTTTTCGACTTTGTTTGGAGGCTTCCCTGCTTTTGGTATGAGGCAGATAACGGCGATTTTGAACATCTTAGGGAAGTATCCAGAGGCGAGGCAGGCATTGCAGATATGAGCAAGCCTCTCTATCATGTTGTCGGGGAGTTGGGCGAGGATCTTCTTGTTAATATGTCTTTGCCCAGGTGACTTGTTTTTAAACCCTTTTATGACGGTTGACACATCTGCAGGAACCATGCGCTCCGTCAGGCAGCTGTCGTCCACCAGTCTAGTGAAGTCAGCCTATGTGAGCGGCTGCAGCAGGTGCTGATGGTCCTGCAACTGACCTGAAATGTCCTCCTTAAACTCTCTGTCGAAGCCCACGTTCTCCTGTTCATTAATGGTTAAGATCTTCCGTAAATATCGCCGATGTAGTTGTTCTTGGTTTTCCTCCTCGAATATTTTCACGTTGTTTTGGTCGAGCAGGTAAGGGCCGTGTTAGAGGTGGAACCCATCAGTCGCTTGATCCCTTTCCAGAAGGCAGCAGAATCGCGGTAATTGTTGGCTGCCTCCCACACCAAGGCGGCCCACTATTATTATTATTATTATTATTATTATTATTATTATTATTATTATTATTATTATTATTATTATTACACCTGTTACGCCACACCTGCCATAATTAAGCCAGCACCACACCTATACACCCACACTACACCTGTACACCCTCACCTACCCTACCTACTACACCCCCACCTGTTACACCTACACCCCCACCTACTACACCTACACCCCCACCTACTACACCTACACCCCCTGCTACCTACACCCACCTACTACCTACACCCCACCTACTACACCTACACCCACCTACTACACCCCCTGCACCTACACCCCACCACTACACCTACCCCCACCTACTACCTACCTACACCTACCTACTACATCTACTACTACACCTACACCCCACCTACTACACCCCACCTACTACACCCCACTATTCTGCCCCCACCTCCCCCCACCTACACCTACACCCCACACTCACACCTACACCCCCTTACCCCACCTACTACACCTACTGCCTGCACCTACACCCCCACCTGCTACACCTACACCCCTACTACACCTACACCTACTACACCTACACCCCACCTACTACACCTACACCCCACTTACTACACCTACACCCCACCTACTACTACACCCCACCTACACCTACACCCCACCTACTACCTACACCCCACACTACACCCCCACCTACTACATCTACACCCCCCACCTACCCCCCCTACCTACACCCCACCTACTACACCTACACCCCACACTACACCCCACCCCCACCTACACACACACCCCCACCTACTACACCCCACCTACACCCCACCTACACCCCCACTAACTCCAGGTGTATCTGTCCTCCCCGTGTACAGTCGCGCCCGTGTTGGAGGTGCCTGTACACATGATAGGCTCACCGCTGGGCAAGGAGGTGACCGTCAGGTGCAAAGTGGAGTCCTCACCCAGAGCCGTGGCTACCTGGCGCAAGGAACCAGGTGAGTGTGTGTGTGTGTGTGTGTGTGTGTGTGTGTGTGAATGTATGTATGTATCTATGTATGTAATGTGCAGAAAACAACACTTTTTATTTCGCGCCATCAACGTGTAACCAGGTGTTGTGTTGTGGGTCCCAGGTGAACAGATGATCATTAGCAGCCACAAGTACAACGTAACGGAGTACAAGGAAGGTTTCTACGTCACCCAGATGAGTTTAACCATCAGGAACTTCACGCTAGAGGACGCCATCACCTACCGCTGCGTCGCCTCCAACTCTCTCGGGGCAACTGCTTCTTCGGTACAGGTCTACGGTGAGTCGGGGAGAGGAGACGGGGAGGCTTGGGAGTGGGGGAGGGAGGGAGGGAAGGTGAGGGAGACAGGGAGATTAGGGAGAGGAAGTTAGGGAGGTAAGAGAGGGAGACAGGGAGATTAGGGAGAGCAAGATAGGGAGACGGGGAGGTAAGGGAGGGAGACAGGGAGATTAGGGAGAGCAAGATAGGGAGACGGGGAGTGAGGCCTAATTAAGACGACAAGAGTAATGATGGTGGGTGGGTTAATAACAAAATTAAGTAGCTGCGTGCTGGAGTGGTGACGGGAGGAGGAGGAGGAGGAGGTGGGAGAAGGAGGAGGAGGGAGGAGGAGGAGGAGGAGGAGGAGGAGGAGGAGGAGGTGGGAGAAGAGGAGGAGGAGGAGGAGGGAGAAGAGGAGAAAGTTGGCATTTATCACCTGTTGAAATTCTTAGTTGTCAACGGGTGTGATTTTTGTCATCATCATTTCCATCATCATCATTATCACCATTATCACCATCATCATCATCATTATCATCATTATCACCATCATCATTATCATCATCACCATCACCACCATTATCGCCATCATCACCATCATCACCATCATCACCATTATCACCATCATCATCACCATCACCACCATTATCGCCATCATCACCATCACCATCATCACCATCTATCTATTATCACCATCATCATCACCATCATCACCATTATCACCATCCTCATCACTGTCACCTGCATTATCGCCATCATCTATCTGCATCTCTTATCATCACCATCATCGCCACATCATCACCATCATCACCATCATCGTATCACCAACATCACCATCATCATCATCATCATCTGTCTATCATCACCATCATCATTATCACCATCATCATCACCACCATCATCATTATCACCATCATCATCATCACCATCTTCACCATCAGCATCATCATTATCACCATCACCATCATCATCATCACCATCATCATCACCATCATCATCATCATCATCATTATCACCATCATCATCATCATCATCATTATCACCATCATCATCATCATCATCACCATCACCATCACCATCATCATCACCACCATCATCATTATCACCATCATCATCATCACCATCTTCACCATCAGCATCATCATTATCACCATCATCATCATCATTATCACCATCATCATCACCATCTTCACCATCAGTATCATCATCATTATCACCATCACCATCATCATCACCACCATCATCATTATCACCATCATCATCATCACCATCTTCACCATCAGCATCATCATTATCACCATCACCATCATCATCATCACCATCATCATCACCATCATTATATGTCATCATTATCCTGCATCATCACCATCATCACCCATCATCATCTGCATCATCACCATCATCACCATCATCATTATCATCATCACCATCATCGTTATCATCGTATCACCATCATCACCATCATCATTATCACCATCATCACCATCATCATTATCATCATCACCATCATCGTTATCATCATTATCATATCATCACCACCATCATTATCATCATCATCATTATCACCATCATCACCGTATATATCATCATTGTCATCATTATCACCATCATCACCATCATCATTATCACCATCATCACCATCATCACCATCATCATTATCACCATCATCACCATCATCACCATCATCATTATCACCATCATCACCATCATCATTATTACCATCATCACCATCACCATCATCACCATCATCATTATCATCATTATCACCATCACCACCATCATCATTATCATCATTATCATCATCACCATCATCATTCATCATCATCATTATTATTAATATTTAATCTCTTCTCTCTCTTCGTCTCCCTCACCTCACATCTCTTTTATCTCTCTCATTTGTCTCTCATTGTCTCTTCTCTCTCGCTGTCTGTCTCTCAATTGTTGTTTATCTCTCACCTTCACCCTCTCATCTCTCACTCTCAGTCTCTCACTTGCTAATTTTGTTACTCACTTTCTCTGATTGTTTCTCACATTGTCTCTCTCACACACACTGTCTCTCTCTCTCACCCTATCTGTCTCACACCCTGTCTCTCTCACACACACTGTCTCTCTCTCTCACTCTATCTGTCTCACACCCTGTCTCTCTCACACCCTGTCTCTCTCACACACACTGTCTCTCTCTCTCACTCTATCTGTCTCACACCCTGTCTCTCTCACACCCTGTCTCTCTCACACACACTGTCTCTCTCTCTCCTCCTATCTGTCTCACACACCCTGTCTCTCTCACACACACACTGTCCCCTCTCTCCTCTATCTGTCTCACACCCTGTCTCTCTCACACACCCTGTCTCTCTCACACCCTGTCTCTCTCTCTCACCCCTGTCTCTCTCACACACCCTGTCTCTCTCTCACACACTGTCTCTCTCTCTCTCCCTCTATCTGTCTCCCCTGTCTCTCTCTTTTCCTTCTCTCTCTCCCACCTGTCTCTCTCTCTCACCCTGTCTCTCTCACACCCTGTCTTCACCTGTCTCTCTCACACCCTGTCTCTCTCTCTCTCACCCTGTCTCTCTCTCTCTCACCCTGTCTCTCTCACACACACTGTCTCTCTCTCTCTCTCACCCTACCTATCTCACACCCTGTCTCTCCCTCACTTAACCTGTTTCTCTCTCTCTCTCTCTCAAACCTTATTTGTCTCTCACCCTCTTTTAACATCTCACGTACAGTAGGAATATCTCACCTATCATCTCTCACCATCAGTCTCTCACCATCAATCTCTCACTCACTGTCTCTCTCTCTCCCTCCCGCAGAGATTCAGCCTCAGAAGACTCGCACCAGTACCAAGAACGACGGCGACGACTCCCGCTTGGGTAATCAGATCCCCTTAGCAGCTTCCGACCACGACAAGAACGACCTCGACGACTTCTACAACGAATTAGACGACCCCATCAACAACTACCTCGACCCCTACCATCCTGGGGGTATCCTGGACAACGACAGGGACCGCGAACCACTCCTGAAGGATCCAGATATCCCTAAGAGTCCTACAGGAAGCAAGACATTTCCTTATCTCAATGGTGGAGGTGGTGAAGGGGCGGTGGGTATAGGTAGTAGGTGGTGGTGGTGGGCGTGGGTGGTAGTGGTGGTGTTCTGGTCTGTTGTCCTGCCAGGTAGAGTTGCTTTTTAAGTTTTGCTCATGATTGGTGGGCGTGGTGGTGGTGGTGGTGGTGGGCGTAGTGGTAGGAGTTGTCGTGGGCGTGCGTGGTGGTCATGGAGATGGGCGTGGCTGACTCTAGATGCTCACGATCGATGGCTTGTCGCGCGCCTACCTTCTTTTTTCTTACTTCCCGCCCCCACTTCTTACCATGGCGTGTCCAACCCCCTCCTCCCTTTCCTCCTCCCTGTGTCCAAATTCACCCCCTCCTCCTGTGTCCAAATTCACCCCCCTCTCCTCCCTGTGTCCAACTCTCTCCCATCCCCCAGGTGTCCAAACTCACCCCCTGTCCAACCCCCACATGTCCAATTTCAACCCCCACCCCTAGGGCGTCTTGTCAGGTCGTAGCTTCGTCGTACAGTCGTCGTATTGAGCTGCGACTGACACACACACACACACACACACACACACACACACACACACACACACACACACGAAAGATTACTAATTATTTATTGAACAACGAATTTTGACCTCTTCCTCTCCCACCCCCCCCATCGCCCCTCACCTCCACCCTCGCCACCCCCCTCCTGCCACCCTCCCCTGCCACACTCCCCCTCCCTGCCACCTCCCCTTCAGGGTTGGCAAGCAAACAAACAAACAAATAAAAAAAATAATTAAAAAAAAGTTGTACATATAGATTTAAGTTAGGGTATTTTTATCAGTCAATTATAGTTACTGAGATAGAGTGCTTCCATTGTTTCCTATCACACACAGGTCACATACAGGTCACATACAGGTTACATACAGGTCACATACAGGTCACACACACGTTACATTCAGGTCACACACAGGTCACACACAGGTCACATTCAGGTCACATACAGGTCACATGCAGGTCACATACAGGTCACACAGGTCACATTCAGGTCACATACAGGTCACATGCAGGTCACATACAGGTCACACACAGGTCACATGCAGGTCACATACAGGTCATATACAGGTCACATGCAGGTCACATACAGGTCACATACAGGTCATATACAGGTCACACAGGCCACCTACGGGTCACACACAGGTCACCCACAGGTTACACACAGGTCACACGCAGGTCATATACAGGTCACACACATGGCCTGCACATGTCACACACAGGTCACACGCAGGTCATACACAGGCCACATACAGGTCACACAGCAGTCTTTCCTCTCAGACACACCTCCCACACACACCCCACACACACACACCTTTCACACACCACTCCCCTACCTTTCACACACCCTCACACGCCTCCCACACACCTCCCACAGACACCCCACATACACACACACACACACACACACATCGACGTCATATCAAGGTCATATCTCCACGGTGTAGTATGTTATATATCAAGCCACAAGGGTATTAGGATGTTATGTCCTGGCAGGGGTATGTGGCAGGGTATGTCGTATACTCCCACAAAGTCTTAATATACCAACTTCCTAAACATATCTGTAATGTGATATATCTTCCCTATTTGTTAGAATATGCTGAGGTGACGCCCAGGTGTGGTATGTTATGTTGGTATGGAGTATACTCATGGTTGGTATGTTAATGTTCAGTATACTCAGGTGTGGTATATTAGCCAGCAACATACTTACAGTGTTTAATGATGGCCAACCAACATATTCGATTATGTTGGCCACCAGCATACTCAAGTCTAGTATGATAAGTGTTGAGGAATATACTTGGAGATGGTGACTTTCACTTAACATAACTCATAGTGAAAGTGAGGACAAACGGGTGAAAGTGAGGTAACTTTCTCTTCTTGATATAGAAAAGATAAGAATATACTCAGGAAAATAAAAGAAAATGACAAAACAATTGGAGATAGTGAGATAAAAGAGTCAGTCAGAAAAGAAAGGGAGAGAGAGAAAGAGAGGGAGGAAATACTAAGAGAAAGTAAGGAAAGGGAGAGAAAGTGAAATGAGAGTGAGAGAAAGAGAGTGATGAGAGAGAGGGAGAGATAATGAGAAAAGTATATATAGTGAAAGTGAAAAAAAAATAATTCAGACAAAAATCATGAAAAAAATATATTGAATATTTAATGAGGGAGAAAGTGTGTGTGCGTGCGTGCGTGCGTGCGTGTGTGCGTGCGCTATCCCTCATTTAAATTAACTAAATTAATCATGACCTAAATTAATTACGATTATATCTATAGTCTCTCTCTCTCTCAGTATGAAGACCATTTACCTAGCGTTAATAATAATTTATCACATATAAGACTCATGTTAAACGCAGGTTCGCTCGACTATCTGCTCGCACTGGCACTTGTGATGGTGAGAGGGACACCTTAAACACACCTTGACTTTCTTTATCATTATAGAAAGTATAGAAAACGAAATAAATAACAGGTCGTGTACTGAAGAAAGTGTTGGTAGCCGGAGTAGACACCAAACAGGTCGTGTACTGTATACCAAACACTACCATACATACATAAAGACCGCCTATAACACTACATATATATATATATGAATTTACAATATATATATAGTGTGTATTATTTAAAGTGTATATAAAAAAAAGATGTGTATCATACAAACTCGATAAGGAAGTCAAAGAGAGAGAGAGAGAGAGGTGACAAAACAATGTGTATAGTAAGAAAATGAAGAATACACATTGTACATCGTCGCCATGGAAACCGGGTAATTGGCCCACATACAGGATTGAAAATGTCACAAATAACGTATATATGTCTTTAATGAAATCCTGAATAAATAACATAAACAAATAAATAAATAATAATAATAGTAATAATAATAATATTGTTTATAAAATGTTTAATAACAATTATCCAAAAATTCTTAAAAAATAAAACCTAAAGGTAAACATTGTTATTATGAGGGTACACTTGTTACTGCGTCCTGAGTATATGTTACAGTGCCCTGGGTATGTGTTACAGTGCCCTGGGTATGTGTTACAGTGCCCTGGGTATGTGTTACAGTGCCCTGTGTGTGTTACAGTGCCCTGGGTATGTGTTATAGTGCCCTTGGTATGTGTTACAGTGCCCTGGGTATGTGTTACAGTGCCCTGGTACTGTATGTGTTACAGTGCCCTGGGTGTGTTACAGTGCCCTGGTATGTGTTACAGTGCCCTGGGTATGTGTTACAGTGCCCTGGTATGGTTACAGCCCTGGTATGTGAGTGCCCTGTATGTGTTAAAGTGCCCTGGGTTGTGTTACAGTGCCCTGTATGTGTTACAGTGCCCTGGGTGTGTGTTACAGTGCCCTGGGTATGTTATAGTGCCCTGGGTATGTGTTACAGTGCCCTGGGTATGGTTACAGTGCCCTGGGTATATGTTACAGTGCCCTGGGTATGTGTTACAGTGCCCTGGGTATGTGTTACAGTGCCCTGGGTATAGCAAGTGCCCTGGTATGTGTTACAGTGCCTGGGTATGTGTTACAGTGCCCTGGTATGTGTTACAGTGCCCTGGGTATGTGACAGTGCCCTGGTTGTGTTGTGCCCTGGTATGTGTTACAGTGCCCTGGGTATGTGTTATAGTGCCCTGTATGTGTTACAGTGCCCTGGGTATGTGTTACAGTGCCCTGTATGTACAGTGCCCTGGGTATGTGTTACAGTGCCCTGGGTATGTGTTACAGTGCCCTGGGTGTGTGTTACAGTGCCCTGGGTGTGTGTTACAGTGCCCTGGTATGTTTACAGTGCCCTGGGTGTGTGTTACAGTGCCCTGGGTATGTGTTACAGTGCCCTGGGATATGTGTTAACGTGCCCTGTATGTGTTGCCAGTGCCCTGGTATGTTACAGTGCCCTGGGTATGTGTGCAGTGCCCTGGTGTGTGTTACAGTGCCCTGGGTATGTGTTACAGTGCCCTGGGTATGTGTTGTGTGCCCTGGTGTGTGTTACAGTGCCCTGGGTATGTGTTACAGTGCCCTGGGTATGTGTTATAGTGCCCTGGTATGTGTTACAGTGCCCTGGGTATGTGTTACAGTGCCCTGGGTATGTGTTATAGTGCCCTGGGTATGTGTTACAGTGCCTGGTATGTGTTACAGTGCCCTGGGTATGTGTTACAGTGCCCTGGGTATGTGTTACAGTGCCCTGGGTATGTGTTACAGTGCCCTGGGTATGTGTTACAGTGACCCGGGTATGTGTTATAGTGCCCTGGGTATGTGTTACGGTGCCCTGGGTATGTGTTACAGTGCCCTGGGTATGTGTTACAGTGCCCTGGGTATGTGTTACAGTGCCCTGGGTATGTGTTACAGTGCCCTGGGTATGTGTTACAGTGACCTGGGTATGTGTTACAGTGCCCTGTGTGTGTTACAGTGCCCTGCATGTGTTACAGTGCCCTGTATGTGTTACAGTGACCTGGGTATGTGTTACAGTGCCCTGGGTGTGTGTTACAGTGCCCTGGGTATGTGTTACAGTGCCCTGGGTATGTGTTACAGTGCCCTGGTATGTGTTACAGTGCCCTGGGTATGTGTTACAGTGCCCTGGGTATGTGTTACAGTGCCCTGGGTATGTGTTACAGTGCCCTGGGTATGTGTTACAGTGCCCTGGGTATGTGTTACAGTGCCCTGGGTATGTGTTACAGTGCCTGGGTATGTGTTACAGTGCCCTGGGTATGTTACAGTGCCCTGGGTATGTGTTCGTGCCTGGGTATGTGTACAGTGCCCTGTATGTGTTATGCCCTGGGTATGTGTTACAGTGCCCTGGGTATGTGTTACAGTGCCCTGGGTATGTGTTGCAGTGACCTGGTATGTGTTACAGTGCCCGGTATGTGTTACAGTGCCCTGGGTATGTGTTATAGTGCCCTGGGTATGTGTTTCAGTACACCTGGGTATGTGTTACAGTGCCCTGGGTATGTGTTACGGTACACCTGGGTATGTGTTAAAGTCATGTATAGTGTTGCATATATATGTATTAAATTAACATGTTTAAGAAGCTATACATATATATAAATAGGTGTTATCTTTTATATTTAAGTATGTTTAGTATGTGTACACACTTGTATGTATGTATATATATATATATATATATATATATATATATATATATATATATATATATATATATATATATATATTGTCCACTGTAAAGTGGCCAGGGTAACTATATATGACGGTAATTCCTTATAAGGGTGTGCCTCTATAAT